AAATGTAACTCATATATTAAATACAAGGGTAATTAAGTAATTTGACCTTTATGTAACCCCCTAATAATTAATTGGGAATTATAAATCTTAAAGATCTCACTAATTGATCATGATGTAATTCTGAATTTTATTTTCATACGTGTTTATGATTGTAATTTTCAAATGATGTTCTACATATAATGATATTGTTTTTGTAAGTGTAAAAAATTTCTGTATCGTCCGAGTAATATGGATAATCCTATTATTGACAACAATAGAAATGACAAAGTTAAAATCGTCTACGACTACGGTCGGAATTCAAGTTTCGATAATGAAGAAGATGATCAAAGCGTTCCTATTGATAAGTGATTAGTATGTCATTTGAATTCGTTTAAATGAACACATATCAAAGGCAATAGATGTTCATATCGATACATATGCACAATCACATCACATGAATATGAACAGTATCTGTGATTCATGTGAACACAAGCTTCGTAGGTGTTCATGTATATACAACAGAGTTGGCACCTGAATATACAGAAAATGTTCATACGGTTCACATGTTGTTCATATGTCTAATCTTTTTTGTTTGATGTGTTTTGAGGATATATACAAGTTGTTCATATGTCTGACAACTCGTGTATCAAATATAAATTACTTTTTACCTAAATACCCTTTGATATTTTGTTCACATATATTAATTGAAAGTATTAATTTAATAATTAATTTTTGAACCAGCCCATATATATATTAAAAAGTAACTAGGTATCTTCACCTAATTGGTGGGATAGAAAAAACGATAAGGAAATTTGAAAATAATTATGATGAGTTCATTTATAGATCAAAATTGTATAATTTCCGATGAAGATGTGATTTATATGCCGAAGGAATTGTTGAGTTGATCAATATATCTCTAAATTGCTAATTTGGAAATAATATCTTTTAAGACCAAAATGTAAGGAACAAAAACACAGATAAAACCAAAACAAAGACCTGACAAAAAATAAAACAAAAAAAAAAGTATGTTTTTGGTCTTGATTTTCAATAACAAAAATAAACACAAAAAAAGCCTTCAATTTTTGATGTTTGAGATCTACAACAGAAACAAAAAGAAATCATACATGGAAATAACCTTTTTTGGGTCCCAAATTGTGTGATATAAACATCTATGCCCTATTTTTTCATTTTTATGAAAGTAACAAACAAACATTATAATTTATTTTATCAAATCTATTTCTTAATCGAACTCTTCTTATGTTCCGATTAGTTTTTATCTTTGTTCTTTATGTTCATGGCTCCATCCTCCCTTCAATTCAACATGGTTCTGTTTCTTATTGTGCGACAATTCCCTTCAATTTCTATATCACTATCTTTGTTTCTAGTTCCAAATTCTAATCCATCATTCCCTTTGGACTGATTTCTTCATGTTTAGAGGGATTATACCAATGAAGAATCAGCCAAAGGCTTCTAGTTACAATCATATCTTTAATCTTTGTAATTAATTGAACCCTTTACATTTTTAATATAATATATAATCATAAATGATAAATTTTTTTTGATTAACCTGGATATCCAACCCGCTATGTTAGCCGGCTAATCCCAGAGTGACCATTTGTTTTGCGGGTAGCCTGAACTCACTGGATTAAAGGGGATTTTTATTCCTTATTGAATTTGAATCTGAGATCTCCAAACACTTTTGACCTTTGAAGTTCAAGCTCAAATCAATGAGACGCTACCCTTATGGTTAAAAATGATAAACTTCTCGTCTCTATAAAATAAAAATAGCATATATAAATTCTGCATATAGATCCATTTTTTATTCCTTTAATACGAGATTATGTTTGTAAAAGCAACCCAAGTAATCGTGTTTTGTACAAGGTTTCAATTCATAAATACTTTCTTATCGTTAATAATTAACACAAAACAACAATTTACGCCTACATAATCCCTCAATTTAGTCATAGAAAAAGATATCATAAATATTTTAACTAATAGAAATTTCCGATCGATACCTGGGGAATTTAATAGGGTGATGCTTCATGAGATATCAAAACTTCAGCTTTTTTAAAGTATATACACACACTCTTTACATTTTATGATATTTGAATATTTGACTGTTTAGAAGACCGAGCCTACATGAAACCAATAACCATCTAATGAAGAAAGATCACCGGCCCCTATTGCTGGTCGGCAAACAGGCATCGGACACACATGTCGCTTCTACCGTCTAAAATAGATAATGAAAAGTGACCTTTGTATGGAATATGAATAACATAAATTTATTGAATCAAAAATATCAGATATCACAAGTAAGAGGTCGTTTATCCAAACGCTTACCTGGTAAGTGTTTAGTGGTAAGAGTCAATAGTCTAACTTATTTTACCATATTGTAGTCCACTGAAACAATATCGTATGCAACAACTTATCCGATAAGCACTTGGTGGATAAAAGTCATCATCCTCACTTAATGGATAAGACTTCATTTTTATCGTCACTCTTATGGGTAGTTTTTTTTTATCATTTTTATTTTCATATTCATCTAGTAAGATAAATGACCTAATAAATAGTTATTGACTTAAAAGTAAAAGAAGATAACAACTTGCTATATAATCAATCAAAAGATTGTATTTATTTTAAAGAGGGGGCTAAATTACAACCTCAGGTATTAAATTTGATGGGACCCAAACATTATTTGATTAAAAAGTTCATGATTTTTGGCATTTTTTTATGGCACAATAAATAAAATAAATAAGAGCCATTAATAAATAATCATCCCCAAAACCATGAGATTCTCACGGGACAATTTTCGTCCCCTCATCACATATCATCTCCAAGTCTGCTACATTCCAACTGCCATATCAGCAAAGTTATCAATCCACGTGTCACCCTCTAATTTGCCAACTCATTATAGCCTTAAAATATATATCTTTTCTCAACTCGTATTATAACTATAAATTCAGTGAGCTCAAACACAATGAGTGGTGTTAAATTCAAAGAGATATAGAAAGAGAGCCCCAAAGCTTCTTTCTTTACTTTTATTTTAAAACTATATATTTATTTTTAAGTGTTTTAAAAAAATCTAAAAATGGCCTCGACATTTCTCTTCCAGTCATCTCCAGCCATTCTTGATAAGTCTGAATGGGTCAAGGGTCAGACCCTTCGCCAGCCATCGGTCTCTGTGGTCCGGTTCAGCCCCGGTGCACCCTCTGCGCTAACGGTCCGTGCCTCGTATGCCGATGAGCTTGTCAAAACCGCGGTACGTGTTTTTCTCTGTCTCTAATTCACGCATATATCGAAAGGATGTTCATGACGAATTAATTTGTTTGTGAAATGTAGAAAACTGTAGCGTCGCCTGGCCGAGGAATCCTGGCCATGGATGAGTCGAATGCTACATGCGGAAAGAGGTTAGCTTCGATTGGTCTCGAGAACACCGAGGCCAACCGTCAGGCCTACCGTACCTTGCTTGTTACCCCACCAGGTCTTGGCAACTACATCTCTGGTGCTATCCTCTTCGAGGAGACCTTGTACCAATCCACCGTTGATGGCAAGAAGATTGTCGACATCCTAGTTGAACAGGGAATCGTTCCCGGAATCAAGGTCGACAAGGTAATATAACTCTACCTGGGAAAGGATGTCTTGTAGTGCAATAACCAGGTTGTACAACAGTAGAACCTAGTCGTGCACTACTCAGGTTGTACAACCGTAGATCTTGGTTGTGATTAACGAGGTTGTTAAAACCTCGTTGTATACCAACCAGGTTGAACAACAAAACCATCGTGCAATATTTGTATTGTGGCCCAAGCACAAGGACTCACAATCGTTTGACTTTGATAGGGTCTAGTTCCGTTGACTGGCTCAAACGACGAGTCATGGTGCCAAGGTCTTGACGGCCTCGCCTCACGCTCTGCGGCTTACTACCAACAGGGTGCTCGTTTTGCTAAATGGTAAGTGTATCGTGTCTTCAAGACCAATCCAAACGAACCCAGGATGTCCCGCCTGGAGGTGGGATCTGGGGAGTAAGATGCACACAGATTTGACCTCTATCCTAAAGGGTAGAGAGACTGCTTTGTGGCTTAACTGAATGCTTAAAATACTCATCTCATTCACACAAGTCCCTAACTTCGTTTCTTGACCTTGTAGGCGTACAGTCGTGAGCATTCCCAACGGCCCAACGGCACTTGCAGTCAAGGAAGCAGCATGGGGTCTGGCTCGTTATGCTGCTATTTCTCAGGTAAAACAACTTACCAGTTGCTCTAAACAGTTACCCTTTTGGTTTAAGGGTGTTTTAAGATCAAAAGTTTTGAGTTTTCAGGATAACGGTTTGGTCCCAATTGTCGAGCCTGAGATTTTACTAGACGGTGAGCATGGAATCGACAGGACTTTTGAGGTTGCAAAGCAGGTGTGGGCTGAGGTGTTCTTTTACCTTGCTCAGAACAATGTTCTCTTTGAAGGCATCCTATTGAAGCCGAGCATGGTTACCCCTGGGGCCGATTGCAAGGAAAGAGCCACACCTCAACAGGTCGCGGATTACACTCTCAAGCTCCTCCAACAAAGAATCCCACCAGCAGTTCCTGGAATCATGGCAAGTTTATATACAACTTTTAGTTTCAAAAGGTCTTATTTTAGGTTATTTTACATTGTCATCTAACTTATCAGTTAGGTTTTACCAAACATGACTAGCTTATTAGTTAGGTTTTACCAAACATGACTAGCTTATCAGTTGTTTGTGAAACATAGTCTAACCGAGTATATTTGATGCATACCTCAAATGCAGTTTTTGTCCGGTGGGCAATCTGAGGTGGAGGCTACACTCAACTTGAACGCAATGAACCAAAGCCCGAACCCGTGGCACGTGTCGTTCTCATACGCACGTGCTCTTCAGAACACTTGCTTGAAGACATGGGGAGGAAGACCCGAGAACGTGAAGGCGGCTCAGGATGCTCTGCTCCTTCGGGCTAGTGCCAACTCTCTTGCTCAGCTTGGGAAATACACCGGTGAGGGTGAGTCCGAGGAGGCCAAAAAGGGAATGTTCGTTAAGGGCTACGTCTACTAAGCAAGTTTAAAGTCAAAAGGGTTGAGCGTAGAACATGAAGAAAAAGGTTTAATATGCAACATTGATAAGGTCTAATAGCCCATGGAGACTGCTGCTTTTGTTCATAGCATGTACTTCTAGCAATTCTATAAGTATTTCATGTCGAGTGATGGATTCTAATCTCTAGTAATTTCAAGAGATATCGATAAAGATGATTTTCGTTAAGATATAATGACGTGTATATCATGCAGTGATCGATTGTACCTTCCACAATTTTTTTTTATTAACCTGGATATCTAACCCGCTATGCGAGCCGACTAATCCAGGCCGACCACCCGCTTCACGGGTAGCCCGGAGTCACCGCAATTGAGCCTCTGTAGGCACAAGGGGATACTTATTTCTCCTTGGATTTGAACCTAGGACCTCCAGACACTTTTGACTTTTGGAGCCCCAGCTCAAACCAATCGAGCACCACCCTTGTGGTTTGTACCTTCCACAATTTCTTGTGTGTGGCGGCATTGATCATATCATCGTAGATTCTACGCCATCCCTTCTTGGTGAATTTGGACCTTAATTATTGAGATTGATTATTTTTCCGTTTGAAATAGAAGCAGCAGAACACAGAGGTATGTCGATATCTCTCTTATTTAGAAGTTTGAAACTTACAAACGAAGGTCATATACTAGCCTCTTTCATGTAATTATGGCACAATATGCAATTCATAACGATCATATAGATCTAATGACAGCAACTATACATACGATGATAGCCAAGATACGATTCCTTCGTGGTAGATTGCTGACAATCTAATTAGTACAAGTTTTATTTACATTGAACTCCTACCTGCAGCATGGCACTGAGACAGCCACAAGTCTATCTGTTCTATCATCTGTTGTCGCACTTTGTTAACCGCGTCGGGTGAACTGCAATTTTTAGAATTTCCTGCAAAATATATATATTTCCAGTATGTTAAGATCGTTTTGATGTTAACGAGCTGAGTCGAGTAGCAGGTTGTTCAATCTCGAGTTTGATGATCGTTTAACAATTTTGAGTTGTATATTATACCTTAAAAGATAGATTAACACGTTTCTTGGCTCGAGATCGATAATTTTTATTCATTGATTATATGATTTAGAACATATGAACATGTTTGGTTTGAAAAAGTGTAAGCTTGAAACCCTCAGCTTGGCTCGGCTTGAGAAACTTTAATCGAGCCTTCGAACGAGCCTAGTCGAACATTGATGAAGTTAAACGAGCTCTATTTGTGTTAAGGACGATTGACTTATTATGAAAATGACCAAACTAACCTTCAGGAACTAAATGAGACTGGGGGCATCCTCTTAGATCACTTCCATGGCCGCAGTTCTGACAAGTGACAATGTAGGACGGCACTACAAAATAGAAAAAAAAAACCCAGAGGGTTTTGGTGTCAATGGTAAAAAGCTCGAAAAACAATAAGAATACGAAGAACAGATATAAGAAATTATAGGAACTTACTGCCTGGAGACGAGTTCTGTTTGGATGCATGTCGCCATGGATCTTGTGATCCGTTTGTAAAAACTATTTGCGAACCTGCCCGCAGATGCAACAATTAGTAATTCGATCAAGAAAGCAACCATCCAACCTTCCGTTATCCATATTTAACTCTTGTGCGATATTCAACAGAAATTGCAAGATTTTCCTTTTTTCTGTTAAGGTTTGATTTCAGATGTTGGTCCCAAGAGGAATGTGTCACTACAACAAAATCGACGTAAAAATGTCTAAATGGCCTAATAGATTGTTTTATAAGACTTAAAGGTTGTTTGTTTACCTCTTAATAGTTCCATTAAGAGGCAACCTCTCAATCGTTAAGAGGTGAATCTTGTTTGGCAAAAAAAAAGTCTCCCTCCTGATGATTCTAAAACCCTCTGAATGATTTTGTATCCTGTATCTCCCTTAACCATTAAGAGCCCTAATTTCATTGTACACAATTACCAAACAATTATATTTCATTTTGCACTATATCATGAGAGCCTCTTAATCATTCTGACCACTTAATCATTCTGCACCAAACCATTCATCAATTGCCAAACAACCCCTTACGTTTATAGGATCAAACAATTGTGCCTCCTATATCAAAGTGTTTACAATAGGATATTAGGATGTTTTTGGGCATCCTAACAGGTTTTTAGGACACTTTTTAAATAAAGTTTCCTATTAGCTTTTTAATAGCTCACTTTGAGAAGTATCCTATGAACACATCTTTTTATAGGATACCGGTTTTTACAAAACCTTTTTCTTCAAATAATGTCATATAAAACGACTAATATGACGATTTTTTCTTTCTCATTTATAAAAAAATTATTAGGACACCGAAAAGCGTCCTATTGACTTAGTGTGACACCTTTACATAGGATGCACAATTGTTTGCTCTTATAAATGTAAGTCCTATAAAAAGCCGGTTTTGTTTGTGGGGTTAAACCATACTTGAAGGTATTGGTGAACTAGTTTAAATCATTAAATCGACCGATAATGCAGGATATACATGTGTGTGTGTGTGTGTGCGCACGCGCATAAACTGACTAATGTTTATACCAGCAATGTCCGTGCCTCCATAGTACAGATTTGTTGCATCAATTACGGGATAGACGCCTTCTCCAAATACATTTTTGCATAAATCCAAGTGGTACCTATTACAGATCAAAAAACCAAGTTCTGAATAATCGTAAGTCAATTCAAGTGCAGAGAGTGAAAACAAATAAGAAAGTGGGTTTTAGTCATGTACCCTATGTCAATCTTCGAAGAGCGGATACTATCATTAGCAGGTGCCACTTGGAAAAATGCAACTTCAGTACAAACTTGGAACCACCATAATCGATCTCCAGATTCAGAATCACTCAGGGTAGTTTTCTTTAGGTATTCTTGAGTATACGATTGAATGTTAACTCCAAAACTACCAACATAGTATTCGTTTACGTATTTTGCATATGCACCCTGCAGCAAGTTGTTTGAATCAAGATTAGAATAGGAAAAGAACTCGAGCAACGAGTTTCATGCAAACCAAACTAACATAGCATATTCCACCTGAAGGTGGGCCCTGGGGGGTAAGATGTACGCAAACCTAACCTCTACCCCCAAAAAGGGGGGGGGGGGTTAGACCGGCTGTTTCCGTGAAGATCCCTCAATTATGAGAACTAGAGCGACAAGTAAAACCAAACCATACCAAATTATTCCATTATATCGCACCCGAAGGTGGGATCTGACGGGTATAATGTATGCAGACCTGATCTCTACCCCGAAGGGTAGAGTGGCTGTTTCCATGAAGACCAGCGGCTTATGTAAAAAACTCGATCACAAGTGTCGCCACTAATAACAGAAGTTGAATATTGCAACTATTTTGAGAGACAAAAAGAAGACAAAAGCTAAGAATTACCACTAGATCCTCTCCAGCCTTCTTCGCGTTTGTCATTGGGGTGCAAAGTTTATCTGGATCTCCGTATTGAAACTGTAAAGCATTTGGACATATAAACTTTGTTATTGGCCCAGCGGTACCCAGGTTACCAGTAGATCGTTCAAGCCTCATCAAAGGTGAAGAGTTTGTGTGAAATTTGCTGTATATAAATATTATATAACTTAAAAAAAAAACAGCTTAACAAATAAACTTACGGCTACAGCTGCAGCATCCGCGAGAAAATACAAGAAATCACCATCGACGTTTAGCTGAAAGGATATTATATCAGATCAAACATCGCAAAAGTTTACGATCTTAACAAATTATAACAATTGCTATCCCGCCTTCATGTATCACCCATCAGAAAACAGAGAAAAAATCATACCGCAGAAGCACCAAATATAGTTTTCAGTGCTTCACCATCTGATGTAAGCCTTAGTTCAACAAGACGAGTAACTTCTTGTAATACAGCTTTACATTCTGGCCCTGCAGACTTGCCAATCTGCCATGATGGAAGTAATCACAGAACCATAACATGAAATAAAATAACTTAAAAGAAAACATTTTTATTCACCTGTTGATCATATTCGGTGAAGTTGAGAATGGCATGAACTACACCAGAACTTGCAAGACTTCCACATGTTAAGTGCGGGAATTTCAGACGAAACCATGCGCTAAGAGCTCCAGCATACGAGATACCAAAAACAAACCACGGGTTCTCAACGTTTGCTCTATTGAGCTTCAAATTTAGGGATTCCTACAAGATCGTTGAAGATAATCCGTTATAATACAATATGCAATCTTTCGAGGGTCGTCCATTTTACTGAAGGATTTATTTGAATTGTTTTAGCCTAGGGTAGGCTTTATGTGATAGTATGTGAAACCCCATTAAATTACTCTCCAAAAGAGCCCTTAAGGTAAAAAGGGAGGTTCCAACATATATTGAGGAGAAAGGGTCCAAGTCTAGCCGACGTGGACTCCAACATGCCCCCCTCCAATAGAGGCTAAACAGGCACAGGTTGTCCCCGAGTATCGAGTCCTTATAGCGGTAGAATTGGCTCTGATACCATGTGATAATATGTGAAACTCCATTAGATTACTCTCCAAAAAAGCCCATAAAGAGAGAAAGGAGGTTCCAACAAAAAGTCTAAGTCTAGCTGACGTGGGACTCCAACAGTTGCTAGTTTTCTTCTTCCTTGAGGTACACATTGAGACAAATCATTTGTCAAAGTCTATTTTGATCAATCCCATGTCCTAATGCATAGCTATGGTGAATCAAGCAAAACTAACATCAGTTCTGTTGCAAGTCAAATAACCACAACTTGCCTGATAAAATTGACGGAAAGCAGCCAAGTCGAAGAGCGCCTGTTTGGATGAGAGAAATTTCAGATTTTCTGTAGTTAGGGTTTTAAATGGGGAACTCTTCCCATAATACCGATGTTCAAGAGTAACCACAGCAGCTCCAAATTTCTTTGCCAAAACCTGCATGAAGTAAAAAGCTTCAGTAGTATGATTTTTCCAATTTGAATAGAACTTCTGTGGAATTACATGTCCATAAAAGTAGCAGTAACCAACTTTAGAAGGGTCATGCCTCCCTATGTGCATTCATCTATGAAATCTTGTAGCTTGTTGACTCAATATAACGAATCTACAATTTCTATTCTCTTATTAAAGTGCTTTTGTACGCGAAAGGGACTAGACTGGATGGGCGAGAGTGGGTAGGTGGGTGAATGAATTCTGGAAGGTTTTAGACTTTCAATTTGACATGGGTAGTTTAGTAATTTGACAATCTTGTTTCATCTCCCGATTGGTGTTCTACCTATGTGATAGACAAAAAATGCATTTTTCTTCCACTTAGTCCCGTCTTGTCCAAGTCTAATGCAGCACCAAACATGGGACATCAGTTTATGGTAAACTACTGGGACATACACTGATATAGTCATTGGATATGCCACCACATGCAGCTTCACCACATATTACTAAGAAGATCGGTCCATCAGGAATTCTGAAATCATCCAAATATTCATAATATCGCTGCTGAAATTTACGATGATCCTGTAAATGCCAAACCACAACAAGTCATCATCTATCACAGGGTTGATAAGATGCATAAAAAAGAGTACAAATTCCAAATTGAAGATCAAAATTAAAATCCCAAGAGGGAAAAATACCATACAATTACAAATACTAATCATTGTATTGATAAAGGATCATAAAAGGATACAAATGAGGTTGCAGAATAATGTAAGATAGTCTTACTTTCGACACATTAGAGTCACATATGCATTAAGGCATTATTACTTATCATTGGCTATGAATGATCACAATCACACAATGCTGAATAAGATTAAAAAAGGATACTATATGAATAGAATAGAAGATTAGTGACACCAAGACTCTTTAGACAATTGATGACTCCATGACACAACCAAACCAAACGGAAGGACCAAGAATATCCCACCTGAAGGTGGGGTCCGCACGCAACCCGGGGGTGGGGGGTGAAGATGTATGTGGACATAACCTCTACCAAAAAAATAGAAAATAGAGTTGGATGAAAGAATATGTTAAAAGCAAATCTTTAAGCTATCAAAGTCATGTTTGAGTTTTTAAGGGGAGGGGAGGAAGGAAATTGGGAGGATCTTTGGGCCAACTATTTCTTTAAAATTGGTGGACATTGGAGAAAAGTACTACTCTTCTTTTTCTTTTTGACTTATCCTATAAGACTACAATGCTACTTTGTTATGTTATCCATGTTACTGACAGTATGAAAAGATAATAAATTTTGAAAATTTACCAATTTTATTTCATTAACATTGTTCATGCTCAATGCTTAGAAAATCGAAAGGCAGAAAAGGGAACATTTTGGCAAATTATCATTGTTATGAGACTTGCAATAAGTGGTGAGAAAATGAAGTGTGATGGAGATGACAGTGGCAAGAAGGTGGCGATGATGATCAAAAGGGGGGGGGGGGGTAGGCGAAGTGGCACTAGGTTGAAACAAATAAACATACTAGAACATAAGACATTTAACTTTATATGAAATCTGAACCTTTGATTGAGTAGTCAACACATTTTTCTTGCAAACCCACAAAAACATCAAAATCAAGTTTATAGATTTGAAAATATTACAAATTTTTGTTGACATATTTACGAGTTTTTCTGGAAAACAGCATTGGTTGCACCAACGACACTTTTTCCATATAGTTTGCACTTTTTTTCTAAAACAAGAACAAAAAACAGAAAACGCTTCCAAACATGTTAAAGTATATAGGACCACCATGCCCATTTTACCCTTGTAGAATTTCTTGGCAAATCATTAGTAAATTTACCCTTGTTCACCGGCTAGAATCATACGGATATTTGGCGTTTAATGAGATACATGGTTCTAGACAAAAGCTAGCAAAAAAAAATCAACATATGGAAGTGTCTAACATTGTAAGAAGTTACAATTACATAAAAGAAGATAAATGCAGCAACTGAAGTAACATTCCAAAGTATAGTATTTCTTAACAATAAGACGTTGGAAGGAGATGCTAAGAGAGATTCAAACATGAGGAATTCTTCGATAAAAAGGACTACTTTATGGTCATTATTACTTACATTATACAAAGTTGAGAATATAATGAGAGCTACATCTTAGCGTGTCTTAAGCCTCAAAAAAAGTTCTCTTAAGCTATCCTTACACATTCTAAATCAAACCAAACAAAACGAACATAATGCATACAAAGTAGGTTCTGGAGAGAGTAAGGGATCGTTTTACCAAATGCTTACAGGTAAGCGCAGGGTCTGGAGAGAGTAAGGGGTCGTTTACCAAGCGCTTACTGGGTGTCATTTACCTTAGAGGGTGAGCATGGCAAGCACCGAGAATCTTATCTGGTAAGTGAGGGAAAAGACTCATACCCCGTTAGCTCTTACCGGGTAAGAGAAGTTTACCAACAATCCATTTTGATGGCCTCATCATGGCCCATAATGTTATCAGATCAGATAAGTGCAGGTGGTGACTCTTGTCGGTAAGTGACCCCTTATACATAGATAGACATTTTAACTCTATTTACACACATATTCTCTTGGTCATAAACAAGGACCCATTACAACCGACTTAGCTAAATTATGTTTGATTCCAAAGACATAAGGAGGCAAGTCAAGAGGCATAACCATGTCGTGTCCCTCAACTTCATACACACAGGAATCTTAACTAATTGCAGAAAAAGCATTGATGAACACAATTTCAAGGCAATAATTGCATCATAATCTGATAAAAACAAGAATTAACAAACGAAATTGTAATTTCAGTTTTCAAAATTAAATTTTAAACTTGTATTCCTCTTGTTGGAAGAGATAACATTCTTACTTTGATGTAAAACCATATTTTCCAAATCCAAGAATGATTACAGATTGCTACTAACTCATCACCAACATTCATATTTTCTTTCTTTTTTACTTAGAATAATAATCTTTCATATATTTGCACTACTTGTTGCAAATTTCGCTCTAATTTATCCATCTTTTTCATAAACCCATCAAACCCAATTTATCATTTAAAGTCGGAGTTCATCTCTTTTCTTGATTAACCGAGTAATATTTGAAAACAGAAGTTTCTCCTCATAAACCAAAATTCTAACAGGGAGTTGATAAACTGAAAACACACACCTAAAACCAGCTTGTATAACCTCTTTTTAACCAAAATTCTTCACAAGTAATTTATCCATAAAGAATCATCAAAGCTTATAATCATACACAACCATCCAACACATGCATACACATATTGACAAAGAGAGATAGATAGAGAGAGAGAGAGAGAGATTCATACATAAGGAGAAAAGTGATCGAGAGTCTGATTGAACCACAGCACTTCCTTGCTCAAATAATTGCTGCTGCTGCTACTCATACGATTAATTCGAGAAGTTAATAACCCATTACAGACATTAATCATCAAAACAAAAACCAGCAACCCCCTCATTTTTTACTAGACCAAATTTTCTCTTTGTTTTCACCGAATATTGCTGCAAATCAGATGCTAGTTCTACTATGTGATGTCGTCGCTTTTCTTCCAAGTCTTTTTGCGGTTTTTCAGGGGAATCCCACTTCGACGGTACTTGGTACCCGAATCGGGTTCTATCACACCCGAATCCCGATTGTTGCTATTCAGACACGTCTCTTTAGTGGTTTTCTACAAAATTACGGATCATGTCCCTAAACTAAATTATTTATACCGAGTGTCCTCGTGGTTTACATTTTGTTTCAAGTTTGGTCCCTTCTTTTAGCTCTCAAAATCTATTAACTCAAGGGTAATTTGGTCTATTTACATTCTCTAACTTTTTTATTATATATTTTGTCTTTTTCTATAATTAGTACTAGATTTAGGTGTTATTATGGGTTGAAATCTAATTGTACAAGTTAGATTTGATCTTATCCGATCATCTGGATTTTATCATCTGATTCGATAAAATCCAACTAACATTATACATGCAATCTGATTTGACCCAAATGATGATTTGATTGGATCGATTTAATTAGCTAGATATTACTATTAGTTATCTATTGGATCAGACTGGATTAATCAAATAAATTGATCCAATTTTCAATCATTTAATCCACTATTTCAACCAATTATTTATATATATTTTTTAAGTTATTAAAAACACTGCATAATCAATTAAAAAACAATATTATAAAATGTTACTAATTATATGTAGTTAGATGATAATTAGATGTGTACTTGGATGGTCATTGGATTGGATCGATTCGGTTTTATTAAATTATGGACTGTCATTCAAGAAATGATCGATCCAGTTTAGATGTTGAAATTTTGGATCTCATCTGATCCAATTATAATTGTATATCTGATTATGGTTGGTCTTCTAATTGAATCAGATGACTTTTTACACACCGCTAATTAGTACACTTTTACCCCCTCCTCTCTCTCTCTCTCTCCCCCTCTCCCCCTCTCCCTCCCTTCCATTTATCTTATTCCTTTATTTAGTGACGTTTTAACCCCATCATACATCACCATCTTCGCTAACAAACCCGATGACCCTAACCCGTCATCCTACACTTCCAATGACACCAACATATCGCAACCAACCACCACATCATTCTTTGATGACCCCAATCACTTAACTCGAGACATCATGCAAATCATGTGGACACAGTGTAAATTAAAGATGGTGATTTGTCCTAACTCGGTGGGGAACCCAGGCTCACCCACGGGGATTCCCCGCTAAAACGGGTCCCGGGTCCGGGGATCCCCAGTAGACTCAAACTAGGGTTGGGGCAGGGGTCGGGGTTCCCTTGTAGACTTAAACTAACAGATATTCTTCATGATGTTTGATCGGGATTTGACCGTGGACTGGACCAGGGCCGGGGATTACAAAACCCGCCTCATCCTCACCTCGTTGCCATGCCTAGTGTAAATATCTCACTTTAGGGACAAGATCCATAATTTGGTGCCCATAGAGACCAAGAGTGTAATTCACTTTCTTTCGGTATAATTTTCGGATATTCTTTTATTAGAATACTTTGTTTTGTTAGGTAAACCGTTTCTTTGATTTGTCAAAAGATCGAACATTTAAGAATTTGTCGAAAAATTATGCTTTTAAATAATCCTTTCAACAATTGTAGAGTTATTCATCAAAAAACGAGATTTTTTCTCAAACCCTTAAGGCTTTTATTTATCCAATTTGACCAAAAGGGTCTCATTTTTCTCCGTGTTCCTCCTCACCCTCCTCATTTACACCATTTTTTATAACTACAAATGTAACAGTTTTGTCTCTATAGTTTACAAATTTTTTTGATTCTTGTCTCTTCTATTACCTGTTATCATGCTTTTAAATTTAAATGAAGGATACTTTGATCATTTTTCTCTATTTCCTTAATTTTCTATCGATATATAATATAAAATTGTAAAATGTAAAAAAGGGAAAGAATAACTCCCGTCCCCCATCCCATTTTCTCCCCCGACATCGATCCCATATGCATAAAGCACTTCATGGTCTCCCTCTAGACCCCCCTCCTTCTCAATCTCGATTTCGCATATTTTGAACGTCTAAATTGAGTACGGACAATTTTTTTTTAAAATCTACCCTGATATTGTTGAAACATTTTCTTACTTTCAATCATTTTTTACTTTTCTAAACATAATAGAATCGGTTTTTTACTCAAAACCAAGAGATTTTTTATTCTAAATAGAAGGGTACTTACAGCGAGATACATCTTGATTTTAATATTTCATTTTATTTTTTATCTCAGTCGATGTTATAATATAATTTTATGTGATTTTGAAAAAGCAATAATGTTTTTATTTTTGAATAAAATATAAACTTGAAGATATCATAAAAATTTGACAAAAATATATCGATATTAGTATCAAATTAACTATTTAAAATTTCTATTTTTTGTGTAATTTTTTAATTCAAAATTTTTTATTATAATTTAATTTATGTTCAATAACGAAGTATTTATATTTGGTTTAATACTATAATTTTTTTATATAAAGATAATAATTAATTATTTTGTTAGAACTCGATAATTATCCTAATTATATTTTAGACATTTTATATTTTAAAATGAGATGTTTATCCTCTATTTGATTATGTTTATTCACAGTTAATTACACGAATTCAAACATAAAAAATATAGTATAGAAAAATGGTTGATTTATGGAGCTTTAATAAGTTGTACTTATGCATAATTTTACTTATAATCTTGAATTTTAAGTCATATGCATAAATTTACAATACTTCATGCATAAAAAATGGTTTTTAAGAGTTTTTGTCAAATGATTTCCAATATAGTATAGATGAGTTGTTTTTAAAGCACACATGACTTCAATAGATGTTCTTAAGGGATCGGTTACCAACAAAAATTAAGTGCTTACAAGGTAAGAGTTACCACCCTCACTTACCTTACCGTGATAAGATTCTCGGTATCAAAATGACTTGGTACAACGTCTCTCAGCCGGATAAGTTTCTCAGTTATAGTGCGGAGAATGCTGGTAAAACCATCATCTCTGGACCAGGTAAGAGGCAATAAGTGTTTAGTTATCGGGTAAGAGGCAACAAGTGTTTAGTAAATGGCCCCTAAGTGTATTAAGAAGTCAATGGTGATTGCTCAAACCTGATTTCGATCTTGGACAACGTGTCAAAAATCAATGGTACCTAATTCAAGCTTCTAGTTGAAGATACTAAATGTTGCTTTGCACGTTAATCCGATCGACCTGAAGACAACTAGAAAAATTCTTTGTGACCATGAGAACGACTTGGACATTTATTTGCTAGTTAAGTTGGCCGTCAAGGTTACGTTAATTCCGGTTAAAGTAAATTCAAATGATCCCGTCTTAATTTTAATGAAATTGTTCGAAGGGATTCTAATTGTAAATTCAACTTTTAACTTGAAAAAAACGCTTCAGACTCCATGGTAAATATCATGGACGTTAGACGGATGTCGTCATTAACATTCATGGATGATCAATGGCCATACCCTGAAATTCTAATGGTGTAAAGTTTCGTCTCGACATGGCCCTTAGACATAATTTTGAATTATTCATTTACATATCATGTGGAGTGGAACAACGATATACAATACCATCAATAAATGTAAAGTTAATTTTGCATGATTCAAAATTTTGTTTTTAGAACAGTTAAATTCAACACATCACTTTTTGGTTTGCATTTTTGTATACTAGAAGCGTACTCGCGCAATGCAGCGAGATACATCGGGTTTTTAATATTTCATTTTATTTTTTTATCTCAGTCGATGTTATAATATGKCTTTATGTGATTTTGAGAAAGCGATGATGTTTTTATTTTTGAATAAAATATATGTTTGACGATATCATAAAAATTTGACAAAAATATATCGATATTAGTA